AAAAATATAGAAGAGATATATTAAAAAATACTACCTCTCAGGGATGGGAATGAAGGTCAGGAAGTGGGTTTTACTGTCCACTTGATACATTTGAGTATCAGATGTCCTTTTTATTGTCATGGTTGGGAGCTCTGTGGGTTTAAAAAGCAATCTATGTTCATACTAAGAACTCAAAACATCCCATAGTTAATATAGAAATAACTGCTGAGAGCTGAAGCCTCTACCACCTGCCGATGGTATATTAACAGCACTTGTTCTACTCAGATACTGACATACACGCCATTCAATGAGGAGAGGGGGCGAGAAGATTAGAAAACAGGAAGTAGAAAGTAAATGGCCAGTTCTCACCCAAGAGCAGAATCAGGGGGTGATATTTATAGAAAGCTGTGCATGTCCTTTGATTATACTTTGGCTTGTAAAATGCTAGTCTGAAGTTCATTTCAAGTTCTTGGGCAGTCATCTTTACAGTTGAATAAAGGGCCACAGTGATTCTCCTCAGCGAAAGAGATTAATCCTTGGGCAAGTTGTTCCAAGGTTACTTACTCATGCAAATAGACACAGACACCAGTAATTACCCCTGTCCCCTGTCCTTGCTGGCACAGATAGCCACCCATACAGCACCACTCAGGTCGCTGCTAGTCTTTTCATCCCAGAAGTGAAAGGGGAAAGCAATAATCATCACCCTTGCTACAGCAGATTCTCCTGCAAGATGCTGTTTCAGGTCAGCATAAATGCAGAGCTGCAAACCATGTGAAGTTGCCAGGCTTTAGTTTCTTGAGCTCATTCATTAGACCTCCTGGTCTCACAGACTCTCTGGTTAAAGGTCCCTCTTTGAAAGACATGCTTCTCAGGGACACGTTTATTAAGTTAACACACACTAAATGTGTCAGGTTCTGACCTGTTAGTACATGGAACCATGATTAAATAACATATGACTTTTTTCAAAGCTTTCAACCCAACAGTTTGCGCAATGGTTTTTCGTGTCTGTGTATACTACACGCACTTATATTAAGTCAGTAATAGACCTTAGGTTTTCTTTTTACTACTGAAATGTAGTGGTGGGCAGCAGTTTTCATAGCCTGGGTGTGTGCAGTGGGCGTGCATACATGCAGTATTTAACAAGCAAGATCTTCGTTTCCTGGCTCAGATGCAGGGACCAATAGCAAACGTCACATCCAATAAATATGTTCAGAGTTCTCCGGTAACACTTCCTGTGATTGACTGTCATTGTGGTTCTTCTCTAGTTTGCCTCCCAAGGCAGAGAGATAATACAAGAAGAATAACATTCTTGTCACCGTTGTGAAGCACAAGACATGCACACTTCAGAGCACAGTTGCTAAGAAATACATATGCCAGTTATAGATCCACACAGAGCAAAGGCTTTCCAGAGCCCACTTGACTTGAAACAGAAACTAATTATAAAATATAGGTGAGGGGCCTTTGCCATGGACTAAAGCTAACATTTTTTAGATAAACATTTGTGTTTCAATCTATGAGGGATTTCTCTTGAATCAAATATCTTACTGTCCTGGTTATAAATTCCTAAAGTCATTAAAATGAAAAAAAAATAGGCATATTCAAAATCAAAAGTATGCTTATATTTTGACCTATGTCTCACACAATATATGAACCAAAAATGCAAGCCATGAGTTCCACACACTTAAACTATATACTTAACAATTTGGTATACAATTAGAAAAATGAGGAATCTCCATCAGGGAATGAGGAAAGACAGATAGATACTGGGATTCCTGGAGCAACTGACCAGCCTAGAGTAAGATTTTAGTAAATACAGCCTTCATTGCATTTGCTGAAGTTGTGATGACACTATGACCTCCACTGCTCTCTTCTGCCTTCCTCTTCTCAGACATGGTTACCCACTGCCATAGAGAAACAGGAGGGAGAAGGCAGAGGGAAAGACCTTAAAAATAAAATCTCTCTTTATACACTCAGGTCAGGTGATATGCCTAGATCCTTTATTTCAATTGGTAGATATTTTCTTTTTTCTGCTTTGTTTTGACAGGGATAACTTTTCAAATTAAATCCCCTTATTGAATTTTCACTCTTGGGTAGTTTCTGAAGATGCTGCCTTTGCAAAAAGAGTAAAATAAAATAAATAAAATTAGAACTGATACATTTCACGCCTTGTGAAAGCTCAGTCTGAGCTGACAGTTTGGCATTATCTATCTCCATGCCTGCAGGGATCACAGGAATAACATTTGGTGAGAGAAAACATGCAGATCAGGGAAAGCCAGGGCCTGGAGGTTTTCAGGATAAAGGCTGTGTGCATTTGAGGTCTTCAGCCAGAGAGCAGCATTATCCCCAAAGCTTGAAAATGAAAGCAATCTGGGGTGTTACCAGTTCCATCCAGAGATTTTTAAGCAAGAGGTATAGTCAGTCAAGGGAGACAGACTCTAAAGCTCTTTCCCTAGTTTTTCACTGAGGGAATTTGTTACTCTTAAGTATATTCCAAAGACCAGCAGTGCTGGCTATTGCTGGGAGCTTGTGAAGAATGCAGACTCTTGGGTCCTACCGAGTCAAAGTTCAACTTTTGACAGGATCCCTAGGTGGGCTGTATGCATGTACAGTTTGAACTGCAATGCTCTAAAATTTTCAGACATCTTGGTAAGTGAGGCAAGGTACTCAGCTGGTAATCCTATTGATTGGGCAATGATGGTTTCAATTGTGTAACTTCAAACTGTACTGTGATGTGGTGTGATAAGCTCCAGAAAGAGAAAACAACATTGAATGAGAACAAACAAAATAAGAAACTTGGATTCTTACCCTAGTTTTAACAGTGTTTTAGAGTTAGATTACAGGTTTGGGGGAAACTAAATGAGGATAAAAGGGGAATGCTCTGAACTATTTTTTGAAAGTTTTATATGAGTCTAAAATTATTTCACAGTAAAAATTAAAAAGAAATAGTTACTTAAACTGAGAACTGTGCCATCCACTGAGGTTAATTTCACTGAATTGGATAGGAGGGTGTTTCTGGCAGAGGGAAAGACAGAACTCACCATGCTTCAAGAAGTGAAAGCAAAGCCACAGACCTGCAGTCAAGGTGTGAACAAAGGGCATAATGACGTTGAGGAAAATGGACAGGGGCCAGGTCTCACTGGACCCAACTAGAGATCAAGGCGAGAAGTTTTCTCTTTATCAATAGAGCAAATGGGGGCAAACCAAGCTTGGCAGGTAAGACCGTTTCAGCTTTAGGAAGTGACTTATTGGAGGTAGGAACCAAATTTTGGAAACTTAATTGCCTTAGGGCAATTAAGAAGTGACTGCCAAAGAGTGCCAGCTGAAGATCTAGAGAAGGGGCGGCAAACCACTGGGCTTATTCTGTGCTGGGCACTGTGCTGGACGTGCTATTTATGGAGTGCTGCCTGAGGGCCTGAAAGGGGAGGAGCTGGCCAGCTAAAGTAATGTCCTTCCCTGCCAGAAATATATTCAGCTGAATCTGCCAAAAACATACTCATTTCTCAAAGTGGGAGGCAAAACCTGTAGAGAAAAAAATCTCACAGGTGTGTGAAGTAATGGAGTTTGTGTGGATTCTGGGAAGTCTGGTCATGGGCATGACCTGCTTTTAGCTGTAAGCTGGCATGTGTGGGTCTCTCCCACCTCTGCGTGCAGAAGGGCTGGAGGCAAATAGACAGGCACAGGTGATTGATGATAAACTTTTCAAATTGTGAAGGATATTTTTGAAACTTTAGATGATTGCTCTGTGGCCCAGAGCCAGACAACTCTGGAAATGAAGAGCCATCTCTTTCTCTCCCCTCCACTTTTGAACTTTCACCTGAGTCTTTCTTTCCTCATCAGCCCTTTATCTTCTGTAATGCCTCATCTCAGGTTCAATGCTGATCCCTCAAGGCTTACTCCCTCCAACTATCTATGATCAGGTCTAGAGAACTGGAAAAGAAGTTGTGTTGCTCTTGGTTGACTGTATCACTTATACTTTATCTGCTTTGGTTTCTTCATCTGTAAAATGGGAATATCCACCATGAGGATTAACTGTGCTCAAGCATATTAGGTACTGATCACAGTTCTTGGCATGGGTAAGAGCTCTGTTACTACAGAACTCCTTGCTGTTAACTTATTTAATTTACAGAGGAAGAAAGTGAGGCATAAAGAGTTAAAGCAAAATTTCCAAGTCACAGAACTAGTGAGTCTATATTTTACTCATTCAGACATGGATTTAGATTCAGGATCTGCCACTAACCTCTGCATCACGAATGTAAAGCAACAGTCTGCACACAGAGTATAGCTCCTCACTGCAGCCCACCTAGGGGCTGCAGGGTTAAGAATGACTAAGGGAGGATCTCCTTGGTTGCACAGGGGGTTAAGTATCAGCGCTGTGAAGCTCTCTGCAGCCACTGCAGCAGGAATTCAATCCCCACCAGGGAGCTGACCCACATGGTACAGCAGGACTCTCCTGTCTCACCTGCTGCTCTCCTCAGCGGTGTATTTCACTCAGTCTACCTGTTCTGCTCCCCACTCTGTCGCTCCTCTCACCCCTGTGCATCTGACCTATGCCCTAGTTCTTGTATACATAATAAATAGATCTTAAAAAAAAATAAGAATGTCTAAGAGTGAGCGATGATGGACTAAACTTTCTCCTCCTGCTGCATATGATAAGAGACATGCAGGATGATTTTCTTTTTTCCTGTGCTTTCTAAATATTTTTGTGAATTTCAAGTAAAACAAGGAGGCACTGCCCAATAAAATAACAGACTTGCTTTGGGGGAAAAACAACTACAATGAGAGCAAAACACATGAGAATAGGAATTTTCAAAAATTTTCATCACCTAGAGGGGAAAAGACCTTGATTAGATGAGAACAGTTGAAAATTACTAAGACAATTCTGGCTTACAAAGAACTAAGAATAGCCTTGTGTTCCAATGACCTGGATAATTATCACTGTGATTTTCTTAACCACAGAGCTGGTGCCTGGAAAATGAGTGAAGCTAATATCATGAGCACGAGGGAACAGTTAATTTACTTACGACCATCCACAGTTCTGGCCTCAAGATGTACAAGATCTGGTTCCTTGTTAGACCCCATCACCGACCTAAAACATGGAGAAGCATCAACATTAGTGATGGCATATGCCTTGGGGTGACTTGGCTGAGACCAGAGGCCACAAAGGTCCACAGGATTCTAAGTCCTCGATGCTTGGAATATATCTAGAATTTTGACTTCAACTAAAAATGATAATGGAACCTTATTTGATGAGGGCCAGGCTTAACTCTGGCAAGAATATTCCTTGCTATGCACTAAGACTTGCAAATAAGTCCCACACATGGCATATGTGTCCTCCTGAAACAATCTTGCTGACAGTATATTAAACTTTCAAGACTTATCAGGCAGATGCCAGGCAGGCTGCTTTGGCTGGGTGACTTGAGCAGTGATTTACATAGCAAATCGATCTAATTAATTTTTTTTTTCACTTTCAGAACTACCTAGTACCACGCTAGAAACTATGAACTAACCACATGACCCAACCAGCGCAGTCACCTTTCTCTGTACTGAGCCAGGGAGGGACAAGGCAGATGCACCTTGCATTATTATGTGTCCGACACCACAGGTAAGGAAAATAATAGTCTAATTAAAATGAGTAGGGGGCCTATATTGTTTAGCTAATATTGCAGTGAGTCATATTAAACAGGAAATGGTTATTCTGTTAAATAAATACTATAGACAGCCATGCTCCATCCCTGGCCTTTTCATACAGCAAGTTTAATTAAGTTTGGGACCATCTATACATTTTTTTAAAGTCAGGATTTGCAGAATTTTCACTTTGTTTCAATCTTAGGTAGCAAACAATCATAGGCTTCAAAACTCCTCCCTCTGCCTGCCAGGAGCCACTCAGCCCAGCCTTCAAATCCATGCCTAAAACCACAGATGTGAAACTTTTTTATCACAGTCAGAATTCAGTGTGGGACCCAGATTCTGTGCCTACACACCCATCTCGCTTCTGCTCCCTCATCTCTTGCCACACAGATTTTCCTGCTTCCCGAAAGTGGTCTATTCCTTTCCTGAAAATCCTGTATTTCTGTGAACTCTGTCCACAGTGCAATGCTCTTCTTCAGCCTGTTTTCTCTTATTTTAAGACAATTAAAAAATCACCCTCTTCATTAAGTATTTACCATTTATAACAGGAAAATTGTTCTCCTCTTCCCTACAAATAATTCTGTGTTTCTCAGTGTCAAAGCAGCCCCTCCCTACACACACACACACACACACACACACACACACACACACACACACACCCTGAGAGCTGCTGGGGAAACTCTCTTATAAATACTTTACTCTTTCCTCTCTCTATCTCTCCAGCCGAGGTTATAATAGTGAAATGTCAACGAAGGAAGGGAGGGAACAGAGAGGGAGGAAAGAAGTGAAGCCAGAAGGGAGTGTGTGTATTAATGGCCTATGAGCTCTTTGAAATAAGTAAATTAATCAGCGTCCTAAGGGCACTCCCAGCCCGCCTCTTATTTGAAATCATTTCCCAGCACAGATTCTAAAGCCCAGCTAGCTTAGTCTATCTCCATCTTAAGAAAAGTCTCCTTAAGGCCTTATTATCACTGTCAGTAAATTCCACTGATTGATACATGACCTACAATTCAGTCTACGCTGGAATCATTAAACTCTCTTTCTTTTCCTCGGAAGCAGAAATGTCCTAATAAGGGTTTTATGGCTTCCCTTCAAAGAGACAAGGGCTGCACACTTGGACGAGTGTCATTCCTGGACTCTGGACACGGCTGGTGACACTCTGACCTTCACCTCAGCTCCATGTGCAGGGGTGTGGGCGCGGCTCTCCTCAGCTCACACTGACGTGTGTTACTGTTTCCATCCCTGACCCCTTCTGACAAGGCCACAGTCATGACGGTAAAGTAGAAATCACGCTCCCTGACAACCTTCAAGCTACCGCACTCAGCAGGGAACTGGTCTTTTCATATCATCACTGAGGAGATGCACGCCGTGTGTCTCCCACCTTGCCTGATGCTCTGAGTTTCCTCCTGGAAATGACACACACCTATTGTTCCTCAGTGAGGGCTGGCTTTCCAGAGATGCAGCAGTGGAAGCCAGCATGCAAACCTATCTGCTTGGCTTACGATTAGTGTCAGCAAAGGCAAAATAATTACCCAGCATCCAGTCCAACCTGTCCACATGTGCCTGGCCCCACATCCGTAGCGGCTGTGTCTCTGACAGTCTTCGTCTTTTATTATCTCTAAGGCGAGAGCTGTTGCTTCAGGTGACAGTCCCCCACTTACCAACTAACAAAAAGAGACAAGGACACCACAGAATCCTTTGTTTCTCCAAAGTCTCTGGTGGCTGTCCAACTCTCTGACCCTGTCTAAAATACTTCCATTAGAGTAAACCAACAACAACAATATTCAAGCCCCAAAACAGTGTGTCTCCAGCCATTTCTACTGCTGATGTTACCCCTGTTCCTAGTGCTGAAATAGACCTACAGATCTGCAGATTGTAAAGAATTATCGCTGCTTTTCTACTTTGTGGCACTGGCTTCAGGAGCTGAAGCCAGAGAATGCTAAATATCTGCAGAGGTGCTGGCTATCACGGTCTAGTCATTGACAGAAACCCTGCAGATGTACACTGCAGTTAACCTACAAAGGACCATTTTAAAGTTCATTGTATACCACATTTTAGTTGAAACTGTGGAGTCTGGTGGTTATGAGTGTGATTTAAGACCAACTGTTGTGCCTGAGATGGTGCTAATTTCAGGGGCAGAAGGGTGCAGAAAACAGAGCCAAGATGGTCAAAGCTACACACTTTCAGTTATGAAATGAGTAACGTCTGAGGATGGAATCTACAACAGCATCTCTGTAGTTGATAGCATATATTGTATATCTGAAATTTGCTTAGAGAGTACAACTGAAGAATTTTCACCCCACCCACCAAGGTAACTTGATTATGAATATCCTGCTGCATGTAGCCATATAGGAAATTATCAGGTAACAAGATTTAAACATATTATGACTGTATATGTCCATTATACCTTAATAAAACTAAAGAAACAATAAGTCAAAGTAAAATAGCATGGCCATAAGACTTAATGCAAAATGATCTTTTGACAGTGATTTTTAGTATGAGATCTCAAGAATAGCTTCAAGTATATCTA